CGTGCCGCGACATTTATCACGAGCGCAAACAAGAGGAAGGCGAGGCGGGCGGGCCTCCCGCGGGGGTCGCGAACCCGCAGAGCAGGGGGCTTATCGGTCGGGGACATCGGGAGGGGAAGGGAGGGGAGGGCGTATGGGGATGAGCCGGGCCGAGCCGAGCCGAGCCGGGGCCGGGCGGTCCCGAACAATGGGCATAATGGTGTGCGCAGGTTGTTTGTTCTTGATGAAGCCGACGGGCCGGCCGGGGGGAGGGCCTAACTGAGCGCGGCGGGGGCGTGGCGCGGCGTGGCCCGGCGGCATCAGTCATCGTCAGGGCTGCGCTGCGTGGCGCGGCGTGGCGCGGCCAGGACCCAGGACCGCCGCCAAGCGATTCTTCACGCCCTCCGGTCATTGTTTGACTTGATACCCCCCCTCTCGCTGCGACGATGCGTCCCACCCGCCGATCACGATGGGCAACGCGGGGCACCCTCTGCTCCAAACCTCTTTCCTCTTCCTCCTCCTCCTCCCTCTTTCCCTCGCAGTTCTTGTCCCCTTTTCTCGTCCACGCCGTCGCTCCGCCCCCCCCCCCTCTTTCTGGACCCGGCTGGCCCTTCCCGTGCCGGACGCGAGGTGCGCAGGAGCACGATGTAGAAAACCCTCTACATCGTGGCAGGCGGACGGAGGAGAGGAGAGAGAGTCCCTCGAGGATGACGGCGCGTCGCAAACGGCTTGTCCCCGCGGCGTGGTGCGGAGTGGCGGGGCGTGGCGGAGCAGGGCGTACTGCAGACGCAGACGTGCCACTCGAGACATCGATCAGTCAATTGCTATTCGGCTCGAGTCGCGCCGCGCCTGGCTGCCAAGGGCCGGGATTCCGCCGTATAGTCGTCGCCGTCGTCGCCGGCCGGCCGGACCCTGCCGCCGCCACGCCACGCCACCACCGCTCGGGGGCGCATCATCATGTCCCCCAGCCAGACCACCGCGCCATCAACACCGCCACTTTGTACGTCCTAAACGCGAACGTGGACGCGCGCGACCCGCGCGGTCCCTGCCAACAGCGGCGAGCGTCCGCCGCGTCCTCCTCCTAAAAAGTCCAATGTGCCTGCTGTATATCTGAATACAGGCACGTGAAGGGACTCCGAGCAGGAGGGCGCGGCGGGGCGGGACGCTAAGTTGTATCAAGGATGCACGGCCCTGCGGAGTGCTTCATAACAGTCACACACACACACACACACACGCGCCATACGCCCGTCCTCGTATATCACGGCCCGTACCGAGCACAATGCCCCCCCCCCCCCGGTCCTGCCCCTCCTGGTGCCCATGAGCCGGGCCCGGCAGTCCACTCCACACTCCGGTGCAGAGGCCGTGCGGGGCGATGGGGAGTCCTGCGTTGCCCGTGCGCTGCCCCCGCCGCCCCCGCTGCCCCCGCCGCCCCCCAGGGGCGCACGAGCGCTCTCATTTCAATAACGCCCCCGTGCGTCCCTGGGCGCGTTCCTGACATGGTCCCTGACCAGCCCGGCCCGGGCCCCATCCTGCCGCCGGGGGGCAGCGTGCGCGTGAAGCCTCGCCCCGTATGTATGATCCCGGCCGAGATGGGACTTGACTTCAACTTCAAAAAGGGTTATAACGACTGCTTGTTCATGGTAAGTTTCAAACTATCACAGGTTGTTCCACAGTGTTCACGGTAAACACATAGTGCGGCAGACGGTTATTGAAAGCACGTCACGTCTCGCAAACCCAAAACCGAAAACGTACTCTGTCGAAACGTTCCAAACATGTTCCATCATACGCGCTCGCTAGTCGCACTCTCGGACACAACGGGGACACTGTTGCGGCGGGCACAGCACAGGCTGCCACAGGCGGGGCCTAGGTAAACACAGTGCGGCCGGGGAGGGCGCCCCAGCCCCAGGTAGCAGCGGCAGCGCTCGGCAAACACCTTGCCGACGGGCCGACGGGCCCGGCCAGGACGGTATGGACCAAAGCCACAGGAATGCTCGGGGCGGCTCTCGCTGTCCAAATAACTCCCGAGGGAAATATCGAAAAGCATGGAGCGCGCGGAGTAAGGAGTAAGGAGTCCTCGGCTGGCTCAAATGAAGCGGCGTAGAGAGCGAGGGAGAGAGGGAGAGACCGCTGGGGTCGTGAGAGAGGAGAGATGCGCCCGGGCCACGCGGCTTCTCTCTCTCTCTTTCTCTCTCCACCGGCCCTCTCTCCATCTCTCTCGGTTGGCGTGGCGCGGCGCGGAACCTCAACAAACGCCACAAATTACATTTGTAATCCAGAAGCACTGCCTTCCCCGCTTCTCTTCCTCGGCCCCTCCCCGCGCCGACCGCCGGCCTGCCGGACCCCGACCAAACGGACCGCACCCGGCTCGGCTCGGCCCCGGCCCGCTGCAGGACCGGCCGGCCCCGGCCGGGCTCTGGCCCGCTCCTGCTCGGCTCGGACCCTCTGGACCTGGACCGCGGGCTCCTACCGGGGTTACTCACTCGGAGGGGCCCATGTGCCTATTCCCATGGACCCACCGCGCCGCGCGGTGCTGCGTGGGCAGGGCGGGCATGAGCTGCATGGGCGCCCACCGCGCTGCCCTCACGCGAGCGGGCGGCAGAGCCGGGTAGAGCTTCTCACGGACACGACAATCGCTTTCAGCTCGCCTGGGACAGGAGAGAGACCTAGCCATGTTCCCGCCCCGCAGTATGGGGTACAGGATGGGGGTGCTGCGAAGACAAGTGCGCATACAAATGCACTCCCTCTCGCAGACACGCGCTACGGTCTCCGTGGAGCGGGTGGGCCAGCGCCGTCCGAGCGGATGGGTAGACTAGCCCAGCATACAGCCGTGCGGGCGGGTTGCCTATGCGCTCCGAGCCGTAAGGCGCCGTTGTTTAAGGCAAACCCAAATAAATGGCCGTTTATTTTGCCTCCATTTCTCCCGTTTCGTTCTAGAACGTAGCTATGTTAATTTTTTAAGCGTTTTGTGCTGCGTGACCGCAATGTAGTCATGCTTTGCTGGTTTTTCCAACCCCCTAAATGCTCAACCGCACTGAACATGCTAATGAAGATACCGCATGCAATCGAGTTTGCACCCGAGCTGACCCCTCCCCCCCCCCCACCTCTCCCAAATTGCCACCATCTGGTACCCGTCACCGTCCGCTTGCATGTTCTGCTCTTCGGTTTTTGTTGTGTGTTGTTTTGTACATTTACTTCGGCCGAATAAACCCTCCTGGTTGCCAAAAGTCATCCCACTAATCCGCCCCAAACGTGCGCAGCCTCTCTCTCTCCGCCGGTCGCCAGCTGACTCGCTGATCCACATCCTCGACCTTCGTCCTCGACTCCTTCATATCCTCAACAAGCGGGCTGTAATTACCCCCGACGCCTCGCATTCGGCAGGATTTATCGGCCTCCGGTAGGCTGGGCCGGCAGGCTGGGCCCACCGCTGAGGCTCATCCCGAGTCCAGATCCAGCCGCCATGCCATAACCCTTCGGCGCACACACTGGGCGGCGGCGGTTCCAAATCCCCCGCCCATCCCATCCCTGCTAAATAATATTTCCCCTTGTGTATCTTTTTATTTACCCTTTCCCCTGTACGGTGTGTGCGTCATGATTATTGTCATTAGGACAGCGGCCCGGCGCATAGGCCGCCTTCAAGGCGCAAAGCCGCACACAGCAGGGAAAGCCCAAGGCTCTCTGTCTCTCTTTCATCATTCGCCGATACCAATCCCGCACGCTGACATGTCATTTCTTGGCGAGGCGTGGCGCCCGTATCAAGTGGAGTGTGATTGGAGCGGGGCTTTTGTCTCGGAGGTAGGTGTGAGTGTGTGTGAGTGTGTGAGTGTGTGAGTGTGTGTGTGTGTGTGTGTGTGTGTGTTTAACTTCATTATCAATCACGCCCAGTCACATATGATCGCGCATCATTCGACCAAACTGACGCGCGCGACGCGTTATATTCTTTCCTTTTCCAGCATTCCAACGACGTAAAAAAATAAAACAAAACCAAAAGAAAAACATTAAATTTCCAGCCCAAACAACGGCACGCAGAAGAGGGAGAGAGCCCGGCGCGGGACATTCGAACGGCCGGCCGCATCGGCACGACAAAAGTCTTTAATACACGTCACGTTGTATCAAATAATAATCCGCAACGTGTCATTGTTATTCAAACAACCCGGGACCCGGGCGGGCGGAGCGGCGCAGGATGGGGAGTGGGGCAGTTTTTACACGCCCGTCTGACAATGACTTTAGGCCCTTCCGCCGCCGCGGCGGCGTGGCGTGGCGTGGCGCGTGACTGATTGCGTTAACGCGACAAGGTTCCCGTACTGCTCGGGGTCCAGCCGGAGAGCTCCCCGCTCGGCCCGGTAGCCGCCGCCTCGGCCGCCTGGGCTGAGTTATGACGAGCTGTCCGTCAGACGGACCAGGACCAGGAGGACGCCGCCGACTCTTGTTTGTTCGCGTTCGCCACGCTCGATATTTTGATAAACTTCTGAAGTTGTTATAGTACGATTATTATTATTACTGTTACTACTCTTATTTTTCCGTGTGGGTGCACCGCTCGGACCGGCGAGGCGTGGCGTTGCCTGTTGCTGGCGTTCCCTCCCGCCGCCTGTCCGTATGTATATCAGCCACAGAGCGTAAAGGAATAATACCCGCCACGATCCCTATCTCTCCACGCGTGTGAAACAAAATTAAAAGAAAATGTATTTCACTTTCTTTTTCTTTTCTTTTTTTTTGCAGGCCGCTCCACCAGCAGTAGAATAAATACATACTGTGGATAATAAAGTGCAGATGAGAAGAGTCCGCTTCTTGCACATAGCCGTGGGATATGTGATGGGGGGCGGGGATGGCGCACACATGTCGCCATGTTGGGCAATTGAAATGGTGAGGGGGGAGGGGAAAGGGTGAAGGGGTGAGTCACCGACCACAAGCGCGGGGGGGAGGGGGGGAGAGTGGGGGGCCGACACTCTGGCTCATCTCTCCAACATTAGTGGTGCAGTATGTATACTTGCAAATAAGAGAGAGGAACAAAAGACAACACTCACTTCTTGTCGCTGTCCAGAAACGTGTCCAACTCCACGGACAGCTTGCAGCAGAGCGCGCGCCGGTTGTGGGACGATGAGCAGTTGGTGTTGACCATGTGACCGTCTGTAAACGAAACAGTCAGAAAAGAATTAAGTGAAAACAGTGATGGCTTAAAATTTGCTTTCACACAGGCCCGTTCCGCCAGACGCTTAAATATTTGTTTAGGGCTCTCGTCAAAAACTGTTTGTAGTCGGTTTGGGTGCCTGCTCAAAACTAACTGTGGTGAGTCCATCTGATAAAATGGTTGAAAACTAGAGTAAAACGGTAACAAAGAGAACCTTTAAAACAAACATTTTTTCTTCAAAAGATTTGGAGCCGAGGGCCGAGTGCAAGGTGCGGCTGTCGCGATGGTTGCGGCGCGGCACGGGGGGCCCGGGTTTGACTCCCCGGAAACACTTTATATTCCGGACGCGCTTTTATTAGTCGGCATAAAACTCTTTATTTTAAAGCGGCGCCGTCGGCGGCGGCCGCCGAGTGGGAGAGAGAGAGAGGGACAGCGGCGGCGGGGCTGCAAGCTATGGGAGAGAGAGAGAGAGGAAAGGAGATCGCTGCGCGAAATCTGGGTAATTTGGAACAATTAACCCTCCACACCCCGCCTCGCCGCTGACGAATTAATTGTTCTCATTATTCCTCCGGAAAAGAGCAGCGGCGAGGCGGCGGCAGACCCGCACTACTGTGACGTGCCCGCAGGCTGAGCAGCCAGCCACTACACTGTCAATACAGACATCATAAAGTAAATTTTTAGCGACCTTCTACCCCCCTTTCCTCTGCTCTTGAATTTCTTTCGTCACCATTTTTATTCTGTTTTGGTAGTTTGTAGCGGTCAGAAAAGGGCACGTCGTAATGTTTTTTATCCGTGCGGAAACAAAAGGAATTAAAATTTTCCCCCTCCACCTTGCCGTCCTAAAAGTCACGTAATGTCGTTAGTGTGTGCTCCGATCGCGTCGTGCCATGCTGGAGGGGGCCCGGCCCGGCGGCGGGGCCCGGGCTTGAGCAGGGTCGCGCGCGTGGGTCGACAACAACAGGTGAGACATATCCCGTCCTATATCTCTGCTCTCTGCTCACAGCCACACTAATGAACTCCCCCCCATTCAGGCTCCTGGAGACATTCTAATGGGGCGGACGGGCGCGGGCAGCGGGCAGGTCGGTGCGACGCCGCCCAACATTTGTCCCCGTACACCCGCGCGGGTAGTTACAGGTCCTGGCCTCTGGCCCGCCGCCAGGGTCACCCACACTGTAATCACTCTGTTTCTGATATAGCAATACGCTTATAAAAAGTATATACGTGGGGCTGATTATTATTTCGTGAATGAATGGAGAAATTGAAAAATTGTAGCTGCTGCCTTTAGGGTGAACCCCAAGAAATGCATCACTTTTGACGAGCCTGCCCCCCCCCCCCCTTTCCCGTGTCCCCGGTCTCATTTCACCCGAATAAGGTGGTCCTCCCCCTCCCCCCTCCAGGCAGAGTTGGCACGAGGGCGGAGGGCGGCCCTGCACAGTCAGCCCTTATGTTGGCGGGGTCGGGTTTCTGCAAGCCTCTCCGACGCGATACGGGGCGGGTGGTGGTGGATCTCGTCTGGCCCCGAGAAATGTAAAAATACGGCGGAAAATAATTTCCGACATTCTAATTTGTTATGTGCGCCGAGTTCAAAACTGTGGACCATCGTACAAACTCTATTTTCTACTGGACTATACTCACTCGTCTTCTTCTGGAAATCGGGGTCGTCCGTGTCGGTGAAGAACCAGGTCTGCAAACAAAGAAAAACGCGTTGTTAGTACTCCTAGGTAAAACACACATATACTGTGCAGACAAAATTTGACTGCCACTACTAGAGCTACCTCTCTGAGGCAAGATTTACTTCAGAAGATAAAGAGGGCCGACAAAACTTTCTCTAACCCATCGCGAGAAAGTCATACACATACGGCTGCCGTTCCATCTCTGGTTGTCTCTGGCGGTGTACCTTCGGTACAAGGAAGGCAGCCATACAGCCCTTTGATGATGGGGCGCAGCGACAATCCGCCCCGGAGGCCCGGCCCCGCCGGCCTCGGCGGCTCACGGGCTTGGAAGCCTAAGGCCCTAAGCTCGGCCGTTTTGTTCCGTTTCGGTTCCCGCTTCCCCCTTCGGAGCAGCACACATGGGCAGCCGGCTCGGCGGGCCTACACGGGCCCCGCCCCCCTCCTCCCGTGCCCCCGAGCGACAAGTGGAGTAGAGAGGGGCCTAAAGGCTCGGGGAGCCCGTCGGGGAGCCCGGGGAG